ACTATTAGGAAATAAATAATTGGTGGTACGGAAATGGTTAATAGTAGTTATAATTTAAGGAATAGTTAGTTGGAGGGAGCGATCAAAAATCACACACATACAATGTAGATGTAATCTTTATTTATAGTCTACGTTTCGACCGAAGTTGTCGTCTTCATCAGGGCTTTCGTCTAACAATGCCGGAATACTCGAGGCAACTGATCAAACTGTTTTTTTTTTTTGTTTTTTTTTATCACTGAATATATTTCTTCGAACTTTTTGTTATATTGATTGATTCATCTTGTTAACCTACCATTTTGTGATAAAAATATATACCGATAGATTTAACTAAGAAAGCTCTACAGATACATCTTGCTGGGTTTTACTTTAATTCTTAGTGTTTTCATCTTTTTATTTAACTTTTATGTGAAAGAAAAGCATCTTATGTAGCAAAAGGGGATGCAAATTTTACGGTACGAAATCCAAACTTTAGTTATAATATTCAAAAACATTATAATATTTAAAAGATTAGAAATTCCATGTATAATAATAAAAGTTATTTTGCGACTTGGGGTAGAATCTTACCGAATAAAGAAAATAATAATAAAGAGAAAAACAAGTTTTTGTTGGATTATAAAATTAAAGAGAAAGGAACGGGATAGATAAAGCGCCACAATAAAGCCTTAAAAAGCCAAGGCGTGCCTCATAAACTGACGCCCTGGCTTTACGAGCAATTCCTCGTCCGATGTAGCTATTGTTCGGCCGTGCAAGACTAAGATTATGAGAAATGTTCCAAGCATATTTCATAACATTAATTTTCTGACTGATTACATTATTTACAGCCTCATATCGTATGGCATTATCAGCCACTGTTTTATAGTCACAACCCAAATCTCGCTGTTGCAATACAGATTGATGATAACCTTTTCGTAGTGTGATACTAAAACAAGTTGATCAACTATTAAAGTACAATAAAGAGAAAACCTTTCTGGAGAGCATATCAATTTTTTATCCATTTTCTATCAAAGTTTTTCAGAGAAAATACCACCCTTCTGGTATCTAATATTTTATTAATTGAAACAGAAGATATTTCGGACCCGATGAGGGGTTATTTTCAGGTATTAAGCTACAATACTCAATAGACATGACGTTATAGGACATAGAACATCCACAATTTTCCATACTGATACATCTTTATTTCGAAAGCAGGACCGATGATAAAAAAAAAATTAAAAACTTTTAATGATATAACTATTAGGCGACGTAAATATTAAATGTTCCAGGTATTTTAATTGACATGTGAGAGGTAAAAATATCACGAAAATACTATATGAGACCAAACATAAACAATTTTAGGAAATAAATAAATACATTTTAAAAATAATTGTTAATATAATGTTTTATTGTAGATAAAGGACTTCAAAATGGGCCAGGTTGAATCCGAAAATCGTACATTTATAAAAGGCATGAAGTCTGTAAAGTATCTCGTCAGATATTTCCAATAAGATTTACTTCGTTTATTATAATGTAAACATGACATCATTCTGATAAAATTTCGATCTGGGCAGAACAGGACATAAAAGGCAATGAGAATTAAGTGGCTCTCGGCTACCTCAATAAGCATTATCAAGTGTTCAATGGCGTTGCCATCTATCTTAAGTAGCCGAGTGGTAGTTTCAGTCCTTAAATGGTAACAAGCCTACTCAAAAAAAATTTTTTTCTTCGATAAATAGAGGCAACCATCTCAGGGTACACCGAGTCTCTATAAAGTGGGTAACCCATCCTTCAATACTTAGGAGGAGCCAGGACAAATCAGTTTTTTTCCCTGTTCAAGTAGCATAAAATGTTGCATAACACTGACAAAAGAATAAAAACCTAAGAATAAGGCCCGAAGTTAGAAGGAAGTTGGGGATTTGTGTAGAAATGGCCCAATTTTTTCAAATTCTATGTATAATTTTCACTTAATCATGTGCAAAAGTAACGCTAAATTTTGGAATATATACTTAATAGACAATTTCTTCATACATTTAGCTTAAAATGGATTGATTTTCATATATTTTTTTTTTTTACGTTTTAAAGGAATGGAAATCTGCCTAATTATGGTAGGTGTAATCAACAATAAATTGTATTATTTTTGAGTAATGCTCAACAGAATTTGAAACAGTTAATAATAAAAAATAAAAAAATGAAAAAAAGGATGAAGTAAAAATAATGAAGAACGAACTAATAATTTATATACATATTTACATTAGTATCTATTTACAATTTCATGAGAACTGGATGTATAAGAAATGATTGAACAGGGGGATTTAAAGGTAGGAAGGGTATTGGATTGACGAATGTGAGAATGGGTTGGAGTTCCAAAGGGATGAGGATTGGATAATGAAAGATCTGTCGAAAGCAGCGCTTCGGTGGGCTTTTATGTATAAATAAGAAGACTGGGAACGAGTATTGCGGGAACGAACAGAGGATCTGAATTGAAGGAGCTCGGAGATGTATGAGGGGCGGTGGGATTGGATGACTTGAAAGAGGAAGGATGCCAGGAAATATTTACAACGGTAGGAAGGATAAAGCCACTTCAACTCTGCATAAAAATGGGAAACAGAGGCATCCTTTGGTATCCCGAAGATGAATCGTACAAAGCAATTTATCAAACGTTTTAGTTTCGCCTCGAGATCTTCAGAGACGCCCCCATATACCGAACAGCAATAGTCAAAGTGGGAGGAAATTAAGGAGGTGACTAGGAGCCTACGGGTTTCAAATGGAAATAAGTGACGATAATAATTTAGACGTTTTAGAGTGGAAATATAAGTGAAAACATCAACAAGACGAGATTAATAATATGAAATATAAATTATAAATAATAGGTCAATACAAAGAAGATGAAATGTTGAACATTTCACTTGCTTACAGTATAAGGTCTGATTTTTAGTATCTGAAATTTTTTTATTCAAATGTTCAACTAACCTCGTTATCATTTGGTTTTAGACACTATTTTTTGCTATTCGCCTCCCTGACACGAAGTTAAGTTAAGATAGAATTTTGAATTATAGTCTATTACAGAGAGGATGAAATGATGAACAATATCCTGCCTGACTGTATGCAGGTCCGATTTTTAGTTTTTGATATATTTTAATCTATATGTGTAAAAGCACTTCAATTAGTCGACTCTAGCCGACTTTACCCCAGCGTTAAAATTTCGGAAATCTGACGGATCAATCTAATTCACTCTCCACAAAAAAATGGAAAAGAAGTTTTCACTTCAATAATAATGTATCTCTCGACGTGATATTTTCAGCAAATGTGAACAACCACCGCTGGCTATGGAAAATTCACATATAAGATTGCTTAATACATCTTATATAATACGTTAAACATTTCTTGAAAAACGGATGAGGGGAAATTGATATTTCTGGTTAGATTGAATAGCGTACCTATCAAAACTCTTTCAATAGTCACATCCACTCAAAAAAAAAAAACCACACTGTGGTTGGGAAGAGTACGATCCGGTATAACCTGCTTAGTGGTACACCAATCCTTGTAGGAAGTCAAATATTGATTTTTATGTTCATGACATTATTTTAAAGAATCGTTGGCTTTCAATAAAGGATAAGCTTGTTTTTTTTTCACCAAAAAAAAAACGAGAGAATAACCGTGATCCCGTAGAGTTTACAATATAAACAGCAGAAATAGTCATTAGTATAATTACAGTGTTTAGGCTGGGGCAACTGAGGGCAATTACAGCTCTTGGGCTTTAGTTGTTATAGGCAACCTCATTAGTAAGAGCTACCACTCTCTAAGATTGTTTTATTTATTTTAGGACCAATTAGGATGTAAAAATAGAATATGATGAAGATACAATAAAATAGACGAACTAAGAGTAGGAAATTTGAGGATCGTAAATATCAAATTCAAAACCACTTTACTAAATTTATATAAATTTGTAAGAAGTTTCTAATAATTGTGAAAAAATAAAGTAACAAAATTGCATCACATTTAGAAATTTCAGGGAGGATACATTCAAAATTGAGAAGACTACTGTCATAAAACAAAAAGGGATAATATATTTTATAGATCCTCAATAAACAAAAAGACGGAAAATATGAAGAACATTTTTTAACAAAATTGGTTAATCTTTGGATAAAGATAGGGTTTAAGAAAAATAGTTTTTAATTATGGTATCGGTAATTATGGTATTCAAGATTCGCAGTGAATCCTTTATAAAAAAGGGATATAAAAGTATTGGACACACGTAATATAAACAATAAAAACAGGTGGATAATAGTTCGTGGTAGAGACACCTTTTTATCATCTCATTATAACCTACAATAAGCATCTTAGACGAATATTTTTTAAGGTCCCCTTTTTTTCTCGACTTTGTGCTCAATTTATCTTACGATTAAGATGGAAAGCAAATGAGTATTGACGAATTTTTAGTACCTAATTCAATAGACAATGTTTGTCGACCTCCATTTTGAAAACGACCCAATCTCGAGAATTTTCGTAAAAAAAAAATAATTGAAAGGTACGATGAGATGAAGCTATTCACGAAGTTTCAGCCGGATGTTAAAAATTTGATAAAAAGGGGTCTGTACCACGGACTGTAACTTATAATAGAAGTTAATAAAGGTGTAAAAAGTATAATCAGTATGATTCCATGAAGCACAGACGGATCTACGGAAGGGGGGCTTTCGTGCTGAAGCCTCCCCAAAATGGTAAAATATAACCATATTTTACAGAAAAAAATATCAAAAACTATCTCTTAAAGTATTCTTGTTCGTGTAATTATATTTAATAAGACTTCAAGAACCACTTAAACACCATTTCATATAGATAGTTAACTATTTTCTTTTTTTTCTAATTAATTATCGTTATATGTATATGAAAAAAAAAATCTTTCGGGCTGAAGCTCCCCCCAAAATTAAATCCTGGATCCGCTAGTGCCATGAAGTTACTTAAGATAAAATTAGTAAAATTATTACGGAGTTCTTTATGAATTTGTAAATTAATTCGACATTTACCTTGTTTGACAGAGACGTATCTGGAGTTGAGTGCAGCTACGAAGGAAGCTTGGGGAAGCGAGTCCTCGAGAGTGAAGAGCTCGTCCTTGGTGACGCCTTGCGACCTGGTCTTGAGGACCGCCTTGGAACCGATAGGACTGAGGTAGTTACCGGAGGAGTCGCGGAGTGCCAGCTGGCCGCTGTGGTACTCGGCCGAGAAGAGGCAGTTGGGAGTGACGCTGGGTACAAGCTTGCCCTCGCGGCTCAAGTACTTGTTATTGCAAGTGTGGATGGCATAGCGGCCGCCTTCCTCGCTGCGGAACTCCAAGGTGAAGAGGGTATCTTCACCCCAGGGGATGTTTGCGTCTACGTGGATCTCGTCCAAATTTTCTGAAAGGTGGGCGAAGCGTTTCCTGCCGACGGAGCGCAAGTTAACCTGAAATGGAGATAATGTGGTAAATTACAATGCTATAAGAAAAAATTGTATTAATAATACAGTATTTATTATTATTATTATATTTTATTGTCTTAACTTTCTCAGATTTCCGCAATAGCATCTAAAATAGAATTTAAAAATTTTCTGACAATGCTGCACGTATCGAGCAGGACTGCTTTTTGTGCTGCTTTTAAATGCGCCAAATCAAGTCCAAGATGTTTTGTGCTTTCTATATTAGCCCCTATACTGTGCGTTTCAATATTAACCCATTAGAAGATATAAATATTGGAGTAATCTTCACTTTTTCAACTGATTTAGTGTTTTTAACTCGAAAGCAAGTTCTTGATATTTTCTATTTTTTTCGGCCCCGGTGGTTACCATGTTGGTATCACAAGGTACTGCTATATCTATAATTTCTTCAGTTTTGTTTATAACCAAGATATCCGGACGGTTATGCAATACGCTATGATCCGTTATTATATTTTGATCCCAGTAAACTTTTATATTCCAATTTTCATTAAGTTTTCCGGGGCATAGCGATAATAGAGTAACTTATCATTCTCTAGTAGTCCAAATTTCCTATATATACTTTGGTGGTATATTTTTGCGACGTTGTTAGGCCTCAAGAGGTATTCCGTTCCTGCCAGAGTTTCGCGGCTACTGGTAACATGCTGAATAGATTTTTGCGTCCTCGAGCAAAGCCGACACTTATCCGTGGCCAGATTTTCTTTTAATATATGTTTCCTATAGGCCTTGGTTGCGATAACCTGATCCTGAATAACTATAAAAACCCTTCTGTCTCGCAATATATTTGCCCTGCTTTTAATCACTCAATTGAAAGCTCACTGTCAATCTCCGGCTCATGTAATTGGTGGTATATTTTTGTCGCTTTCGCTAAATAGACCTGGAACCAGTGTCGAAAAAGCGGTTTTAAATTTTAAGAAAATTCTTAACCTGAAAGGCTGATAGTACTTCTAATAGGCATTAAGATAATGCTCGTCTGTCAGCTCAGACAGGTCGATTTAAGGTTTTAGGGGCATTTAAATCCAGCAAAAAGTTCAAAATTTAGGGGCATTTTAAGAAAATTTTCTACTAATCCAATTCAAAGAGAACAAAATGCTAAACATTTCCTTGCTTTATTGAAGATATGGATTAAAATATCTCAGAAACTAAAATTCGGACATGCGTACTGTAAACCAGGGAAATGCATTTCATCCTCTTTGTAATGGCGTATTATTCAAAATTGTAGGTTAACGCGAAGCAGTGATAGAGAGACTAAAAGAGAAACGATAGTGTCGTAAACCAATTTATGATGAGTTTTATTGAAGATATGAATTAAAATATCCCAGAAACAACAATTTGGACCTGCATGCTGTAAGTGAGGGAAATGTTCAGCACTTCATTCTCTTCATAATGGCATATTATTTAAAACTGAATCTTAACGCGACCAAGAGGAGATTTTCAGAAAATGCCTTTGTTTTGAACTTTTTGATGGGTGTATATGGCCCTAAAACCTCATATCGACCTGTCTGAGCTGACAAGCAAGCATTGTGGTAATACCTAATGCTAGGTAGTAGTACTATCACTAGTATAGTACTACTGGTATAGTACTAGTATAGTACTATCAGTCTGTAGGATTGAAAATTTGCTTAAAATACTACGGCTTTTTCGGCCATGACTCCAGGTCTTCAAGATCTATTTGTTTGGTCTTAAAGAACCGTGGGGCTTGTAGTTCTCCTACTTAATAAGACTATATAAGTCTATAAACAAGAATAAGAGATTACAAGCCATATTCTAATAAGATTACAAGCCTGAATATTCTTTCTATTAATTAAACAAATTACAAAGTTTATTTCATTATTAGCGCAGGCCTACTAACGATCTCCCAACCATTCTACTCCATTTATCTTAACAAGAATATCATAAATATCTATATTTTAATTTTTAAAACCTAACCATGTATCTGTAAGATCCAATCCAAGAGTTGAACACTTTCTGAGATTACGGCAGTTAGAAAAAAATCGATTTTATGAGTAAATAATGAGCAATCTAAAATAACTAGTGTCTAATTCACTAAGTGAGTTTAAAGATAAAAATCGATCAGATTGGAATAAAAAAATTACTATTAACGAAGAATCTATCAAAGCACCTATGATGACAATCCACTTACTGGTTCAGCTTTACGTATCTGCGGAGGAAACCATTAAAGTGGGGTTTTATTTTGTGGAAGAATTCCTTGGTGTCTATATCAGAGGAATCACAAATGAAGCCTAACAAGCCAGCGATTTACTGCTTTCAAGGTCTTCATTTAAATTTAACACCAGAATTGAGCAGATTGTCTAAATTCAGAGTTGCATTCCAGGACCACTACCTTCCCGAGCATGGTAATGAACCCGCCAGGCCTCTCATTATACAACAACGGGGCTCCATAAAGGGAAAGCAAACAATAGCATTAGCATATTATAGTATCTCAATTCCCAACATAGCCTTTTAACGTTTGGTCTGATTGCTACTTCAGGAGGCAGTATAAAATAAAAATTATGGGTCGAGCAAGGAAGGAAAAAATGCATTAACTTATTTATAAATCGTCCGTTTATTGAAAAACGTCACTAAGTACATTACTGATGGATTTGAACTTTTAACAATATTTTTGTGAATTTCGACCTTATTTATCAACAAAAAAAAATTATATATCAAATATATAATGTAATACCGCAGAATTTTCGTGTTCTACAAAAGCAAAATCCATCAAAGCTCGTAGCGATTTAAGGTTATAAAATTCCAATTAATGAAGTTTTGCAATAAACCGACTATGAAATATTGATATTGTGAAAAATTTTGAATCCAAGTTTTTGACGTAAAAATAAAACTTTTAAGTTTTAAAACTTTGAAGTTCTCTGAAACCAAATAACAAAGTCTCGCAAAAGGTGTTAGTTTGATGCAGTCCAGCTCCTACCATGCCCCTGAGATGTCACAGAAACGTTTTTGTCAAAATCGGCTGACCAAAAGTGTCTCTTTATAAAAACGATTTTACATCTGTTTACAGTTTTCTCTAAAACAGCACTAGCGATATTAAGGTAGAAAACAACGGTCAATCAACGCTGAATTTTACCGAATTTGTGAAAAATTCAGACAAATTTGTATAAATCGCCCTGTAATTAGGAAATGCGTTTTCTAAGAGAAAAACCCCATATAATAAAATTTGTAGAACAACAAATTATGTGTTCAGTGAGTACCAACAATTTTAATGTAGGTCAATTATATACTTAATAGTAGATTTTTAAATTTTTTTTTAACGATCTGAAATGTTCTTCTAAATCCTTCTTGACCATTCGGTATAAATATTTTAGTTATATCTATTTACTTACAACTCGAAGTTTACATTTTGAGAAAGGGGGGGCATGAGTCATATCTGTCTGTATCACCGTCATATCATATCATAGTAAAGTTTCAGGAATTTTTTTTTTTTATCAAATATGTGAGGCAGCAATATGATCACAGAATCAGTATTCAAAGAGATAAACTTCATAGACTTCAATCTCATTCAGGAAAACTATTTTTTCTTGAAAGTATGATTTTTCACCACATGGGTACACTTTTAGAAAAATTGGTTTCACTAAAAGTATACTCTTGGTTCACACTCTTTTTAACAATAAAATACCGATGTAATTTTTTTTTTTTTTTAACGCAGTGAATAAAATAAAGGATCCTAAAAAATAAAAATAGTTTTGTAAAAACTTCCTTGATTTTCTATTAAATATTTTTCATCGGGAGAACACAGAACATCTCTGTAATTACTAACATGGAAGCAATACAAATATTGTTTTTAAATTAATATTATTTTTCCAAAAATGTCATTTGAATGGGTAATCACTCATCATTATACAATGAAGTGTTTTTTTTTAAGGAAAGGGAAATAATTAAGCTTAACAACGAATTTATGCTAAGCTGCTAATTAGGTAATGAGCTTTATAATGTTGAGTAATTGACAAACATTAAATTCCTTTTTCGTTGTTTTGTATAAACCCGGAAACAGGAAACTGGTCATTACTTTGGCTGTAGTAACCGCAAGATATTACGAGTAAGAGAAATCGTTACTAAAATGAACGGTGAAAAAACTGCTGTACTGGGTAACGGTACAGGATAATCAAGGACATTATAAATGTTCATAAATAAATTAATTTAGCACTGTTAAACATGTTATGCCTCACACAGTTTTTAGTACTTTTCCTTCCATAATTAATGCTGTTAATGTCTTAATTAAATTACAATTACCCAAACAATTAGAAAGTTCCAACATTAGCAGAAACCACTCGGCGTCAGGTAATGTATTGTTCCTAATCACAGTTTCATATCAACGCCAAATGATCAAACATATGTGCTCCTCGCCGTATAATTTCACAATTATAATTAAGAAGTTCTGTGAGGTGCAGTAACAATAACGTTAGGTGCGTTATTTCAAATCATTTCATTATAATTTAAGAAGATTTTTTTAAATTTATTATTTCTGCTTATTTATTAAGTATTACAACTATCTGTCACTTGAACATTGGTTATAGGGAGGTAGGTTAACAGTCAAGAAGAATATTAGAGTAAATGCTTGATAATCGTCACATTTCTGTCATAATAGTATTTAAGTAATAGATCTACAAAGCTACATAAAAATAAAATATATTGGCACCAATATTGTTATATGCCCTCCTCATTTTAAAGATTTCTTAAAATAATTTGACGTTCAGTCAAGTCTACTTAAAGTTTAATAAAACATCATATTTAAAGTATAATGTAATATCGCCATAAACAATTTAAATTTCGGTATTTTTTTTTTTTTACTGAATACTGTTGATTATTTTCATATATCAACCTTAAATCATTTTTGAGCTAATTCCGATTAAATAAAACTCATATTATTACGTTCAACACATTAAAAAAAAAGAAATATGAAAACAAAATTAAGATAATGGTAAGGAAACTAAACAAACATTTTCTCATAACCCAGA